CCTCTTGAACCAATTTCGACTAAGGATTCCCATGGATTTCCCTATATAAAGGCTTCCAACCATTGGATTTTCGTGGTCTTTACCGAACCACCAGGCTTTGGCCCCTCAGCGGGATGTTGAAGGACACGGCCTGCATTCGTTCCCCACCGTTCGTCCGTTCTCGGTGACCCAAACGAAGAGTCGATCGTTCTCATCCTGGCCATCCATGACAATGAAGCCAAAGCTCTGGTTGTCCTGCAGTCCCCGAGTGCCCAATGTTCCAACACCACCAGGCAGGTGGTCGAAAATGAAACGAACTGGTGATTGGGAGTGGCCTAGTCTTGTGTGTGGTTAACTTCTTCATCATCGGTCTGTGTGAAGCGACGGTTGGAAGCATCGGATGCTGCGGACCAGCTGGGGGGTTACAAATCTCTCCTCCAAGCCAGGCGCCGGTCGGAAAAAACCTCTCCACCCCCGGACGAGCTCCTTCTCAATGGAGCCGTGAAAGTCATGATCCTGAGCCGCGAAAACGGCGAACATTCGCCCCTTGGTGTTCCCAGGCTACATCATGCAACATCATGCAACTGTGATCTTTGAATGGGAGAAAAGGAGAGGATGAAATAAAAAGATGTAATATTTCATGGATGGCACATGATGGCGCCTTCTCCTAGGCCAAAAGCTCCTAAACCTCACAGCTACTCTAGCAGCTACAGAACGATTCTTCTTCAACATTCCGTTTTCGACAGTCCACCCAGCGCCAGCACCATCCTCCCATTTCCTCCCCATCTCCACCCATCTCCTCCGGGATCACCTCAATGACTTCCTTTTTCCCATCCAACGTCTGCGCCTGCAAACGCAGGAAAAAGCTCACGAACCGAACCGAACCGCAGCCGCTCGCCACTCGCCGCTCACCTCACCGAAACCGCCGCTCGCTGCTCGTCATCCGACACGCCGAGCAACAACCGCGCGCGTCTCTCGCCCGCGCGGTGGAGGCCTCACTGGTGCGGTAGACCACCCGGGTGCCCACCGGGGGAATGGTGTGGTTGAAGGCCCCACACACCATTGAGGCCACTGATGCGATGTCCTACAGTGGCGGGGCGCTTTTCGGGCAGCGCGAGGCGTTCGGGCAGCGAGGAGGAAAAAGGCGGAGGAATGCCCTAGTCGCAAGCAGCTAAGGAAGGAGGTCTTAGAGCAGCTGAGGAAGGAGACATCCGACCTCAAAGTCACATGGATTTCAAGAATTAGAGGGACAAAGGTGATCACGATCAGTCACCGCGGATCACTGATCAGTTGGATGCGTGCGAACGCGAAAGTGGTGTGCCACGGCCACCTGGCGTAACAAACCATCCGCGCTGAACTAGCACTCTATAAGGCTATACCCTAAAGTCCTGAAGTAGCACTTCCTCATGGGGCGGGCACCCCCAAATTCCGGTGCACGAAGCCTTCTTCGCGCAATGATGAAACCAAAAAACATCCCAAGCAGCATTCATCCCCCAACCAAATCCAGCAATAGCAACCCCGGACAAATTAATCCCCCCACACGTCGCACGTGGAAGGTCAACAAAGTCAATGTACGAGATATACCACTCATAAGATCCAGCTCCCCTGAATAATCTGCTAAGGGGAGCGTAGTAGAAGCAGCAGTAGTAGCACAGTGGGCTCGGATTATTTGGGGGGGTTCTAGTGTCCAACTACGGCAACTAATACTTCTTCTAAGTTGGGCAGTTTTCCGAGGCTTTGTGGGCACGGGTTAACTAGGGGAGGTTGACATCTTCACTTTACAATTCTGGTTGGTGTTTTCAACCCACTTGAAAAGTTCGTCAGAGGGCCCAATCCTCCCCAAGTAAGGGTTGAACATAAATATATCCGAAACCATCACCTAGAATTTTGTCCAGTCCAGGGGCCATCATTTCATGGGCCGTCCAATGATCCCGCGCTCCTCGCCATGGTCTGGCTTGATCGAGCCCACCCTGAGCACGAAAACACGGGGAGACTTCTTTCGGATGGAGGAAACCATTGGTCACCACTCCTATTTCTATACAGCCTATACAGGTCAGGAACCAGGAGACCCCTTTCCGGGGTGTTGTTTGGACCCTGTTTGGGGTGGTTCACAAACACCCCCGGTAGCCACCAAGCCCTTGGCACACCGTCTCACGGGTCTCCTGGAACCTCATGAAAAGTGGAGTTCGTCGTACAAAAACACCTCTCAGTGAGGTGGACTGGACCAGGTCTACTGGATCAGACTGGACCTGTATGCATGTGGATGCAGATGTCTGTCTACTCCCGAGCCGTGTCCCGAAAAATACCCTTTTCGACCTGTTACTTGTTCAGTGGGGTTGCTTCTTCCCCCCCGCCAAGATAAAGGTTAAAGCTTACCCACTCGATATTGACGGCTGCGGAAAGGCCACAGCCCTACAACTGGGCCAGGAAGGCCTGGCTGTGTTGGTCAGAAGGGTCCAGCTACGCCCGAAGCATGTAGTCCGCTGGTCAGTTCATGTCACGCGAAGCACGGAGCTTTGGCTTCGCGTCACGTCCAGACTTGCCCATCACATTCTTCGGGGATATTGTTTTGTTATAGCCCAAACACTCCATGTCTGTCAATATGCCTATATTGACCCCTCACATGGAGTGTCTGCATGGGTAATACCCTATGGATCCTCTGCCACCGAACCTGAGAAGGTGATTTTAGACTATTGATGTAGGGCGCCTGGGTCGGGCCCAGGCGTACCTTCTGAGGAGGTCAGTGGATCCTTAAGGATTATTTGGTATGTTTTTTCCCCACACCTGAGGGTTGTTAGATTTTACGTACATTGATTGCCTTCCAGATCCTTCCTTCTCCTGCGTGTGACCTGTTGGAGTCCCTTGAAGGCAAACCCTCTTTACAGACCTCAGTTCCCAGCAGGTCAAGTTGGGTCACCAGTTCGGTCGAACCAGGCTGAGGGGAGCCCAAAGTTCCCAGCTAGCTGTCTGGGTTGGGGAGCGTAGATCCTGTAGCTCTGAGTTCCGGCTACCCTGTTTAATGGAGAACATGAATGAAATATGGTGACCTCCAGCTCCGGATCGCTCCCCACAGCTCGACAGGATGATACTCAGGCTTGGGCGAGTATCCTGATTCCTCAATCGTCCCAACCCTGGCGGCGCGCTGGGGTGTCATGTCGCATTTCAGCGACCAGTTCACGTGGCTTCCTTTGAGAAGGTGGCTTGGAAGCAGAACGCCAACTCTGTTTTTTTGTTGTGCCTGATAGGTATAAAGGTTGGGAACATTAAGTGTATCTTTATATATATGTATATATATTCACACACACATACAGCCGTACGCTATAAGGTCAATCACTTGTCCAACCATAATATCCACAGTCTTGAAACAATGGAGTGATGTGAAAAATAAGAACAGTCATGAGAAAAGGAGAATCGCCCCTTTCCCCACGACCAGTTTCAATGTCTCACACAGCCCGAAAGCTGGGTACAGTGAAAGCGTCATTAATGATTAATGATTAATCATTAATGTCATGTAGACCGTAGACTTTTGATTTCATTATAAACGCCCCCATATGTAGAGGTTGTTCAATCCAAATTGAGGGGGTGTATCATTCAAGAGTCTACATTCAGTTGGAGAAGCCACGGTCGACACATGACCTTCGAATTCGGCACCCTGAGTCACTGGCCGAAAAAGACTCGGAATGTGACATGCTGGGAATGAGCTCCCCGAGGGTGTCGGACCCCTTTGTTCCCTTGGTGGCACCACACCTCAGATCATCCATGGGACTCAGCTCATCGCCGCCGCATTGACCCCGACAACTCCAACCGCCGCGTCATGTAGTTGCCCAGTCACCCGGCCAGTCCCATGGAGGGTCGGCGGAAGATCACAGAAGCCCGGCCTCAGAGTCACTTCACCTGCCATGTTCAAGCTGCTGAGTGCCGTCGCCGCGTGGGCTACCTGAGGATAGGAGAACTGCACCAGCGATGACTCGGACTCCCCTTCCGAACCGGATCCCACTGGCACACATTCAAAAACAAACACATGTTGAATAACTTAGACTCTTGAGGTACCTACCCCCCCCAGTTGAATTGGACATCCTCTTCATAAGGGGGGTTATGTACCTCAAGAGTCTACATTATTTGTGAATGGGCAGCCACCTTTGGAGGCAGTTCGATGCTTATCGATGTTTCATTCACTTCGAGCAAAAACCACCGCTGGCGAAACCAGCGGCATGTGGACGGGCATGTGGCGTGTCGCGCCCGCCTCTCCCGGCGTGAGGCCGAACAAGCTTGGTAGTAACAAGAAGCTAGTAGTAACAAGTGCCTTACTAGTAGTAACAAGAAGCTATTAATTTAGATTCAATTCTATTTTAAAAAAACTTTAAAAAAACACCATAATGCGCCATGTCTTTTTGTCGCTGGCTATTCTAGCCGAGACCTTCGCAGGTGTTGATCAAGTGCACTTGGTGCCTTGGATGCTTTCATGTGCACAGGGGCGTCGTCGTACGTTTCTTGAACCATTTCTTGGAGTTCCACTCCTTTCACATCATGTGATGCAAAAGAACTCTTCTGGCATGAGTATGACCTGGTGCTACAGGACCAAACATCGATGAACCGAAGACTGCCCCTCTTGTTCGCAGCTGGGGAAACCAATGGAAGGACATATAGGAACTGCGATGCCAAACATGCCTCATGTCAACACAGGTCGTCTTTCCCTGCAAAGAAAGCCCAGTCGTGGCAAGGATGGCATGAGAATCCGCGCTGAAAAGCTGCAAATACATGCAGGGGCCCACATCACGAGTCTCCATGATTGGCCTTCCCACTTCGCCCCTCCAATTGGCTTTCCCTCAGAAGCTCATGCGTTAGCTTGCACAAGCCCACGACTCGGCGCGCGCTGTGGGTGTGCTGAACCAGCCACTTAGGTCTTGAATTGATTTGGAGCTCGAGCCCCTTTCTTACTTCGGACACCACCCACGCTTCGCTGCGGTTGGGCTCAGAATTCACCATCGGCTGCTTTCTGGGGCTCAAAGAGGGCGAACCCCTCATTCGGTGTCTCCTTACATCAAGGGTCATGACACGTGCGATGCTCACATCTAGCAGGTTATACTTTTAGAGGGATAAGTCAAGAACCTGTAGGATCTGAACTTAAATCATCTTGAAGCTGCCAGCCAGCCGGCGACGCTTCTGGGAATCACAAACACACACACACAACCAAAAAAACAGATCGTCATAAGCTGTCTCTGAGCATCTGCTGTCGCGCTTCCTTCCCTTCTTCCTGAGATGTTTGCAGACAATGCAGGGTTTTGGAAGGAGGTGCGTACCATGAACACATACCCAAACACTCCAGCATATATTCCATACATGGAGTGTCTGGGATAGACATTCGAGAAAGGGGCTGGGAGCATTTTTGAGAAAAACACGCGATCTGCAAAACAATGCCGTCCTGCGAACAAATGCCGTCCTGTTGGTTCAGGTTCGAACCCTTGGAAAAATCCCGGCTCCTAGATGCTCCAAGCACATCGAAGCTAGGGGCTGACCCACCCCAACCACCTTCTCAGGAGATAGCTCGATGCCTAAGGCATGATCTTTACCGAGTCTCCTCCCTTTAACCTTTCCTTCTCCTACCCTCCACATTTCACTTCCGCAAGCCAGGCCATATCACCTCCTGTTGGCTCATGCTCCGCGATCCATCCCTCCTCCAAGAGGACGGACATAGATGGACCTCCACAGCTCTATAGACTATAGACTCGACCCAGTCCATAACACACTTCCCCCAAATCCCGAACCCCTCGTCCTCGCACGACACTCACACGAGCGAACTCGCTGTCACGGCGAATCCCATAACCGCCGAACCTGCCGTCCGGATTTTTCCCCACCCAGACCATCGGGGACTCGGCCGAGGAACTGGCCGAAAATACTCAGTTACCCTGGGGTGCTTTGTTCGGGGTCTTTCTGGCAACGTCAGGTTGACCACTTCACCACCGTCACCGGACCTTCCAAGCAGCTCCTTCTCCACGACGCGCCCCCCCAGGAGGTCGTCCGTGCCGATGGTCACGTCTTCCGGCCGCACGTGCTCCGTACCGTGCACCTCGTCGTCCTCGCCGGCCGCGGCGCGGAAAGCCGCTCCCACGGCGGAAACACGATCGTGGGCCGGGTGGAGGGAGTGTGAGGGCGGTGAGGGGGGGGGAAAGCTGAACCGTTTTCAATGCCGTGGTGCTTGAAGGTGGTTTTAAGGTGGCTTTGTGGGGATCCAGCATCATTACAACGATTTAAGGGTTGAAGATTGGTGCACAGTGCCTTGCTTTGGTTCCTTTAGGATACCCAAAGCTGACATGGAGCACGCACACGTCCTTGAGCGGAAGACCACAATAGAAATTAGATCGCTTTCCTTCACTCGTCAGGGATAGTCTTAGTGGAGGACCAGGTGGAGTGTTCGAGAGAGTAGGGAGGTCTCTAGCACAAGCACTTGTGACAGTGGCTACCTCACTCCCTTTGAGGTAAACATTGATCCTTTTTGGGGTTTGCTTTCTTTCAATGCCGAGCCCCGGATACTGGATAAAATCCTAGCGCCATAATAAAGGTTACAGGCCAAGCCAATCCAACTCGATACAAGCTGGCATGAAACGGATTTCTTTGGCACATGTGTTTCCAGTTTTGGACTTGCTCAGTCGTGGTTTTTGTAGCTCAGATGCCGCGAGCATGTCCCGGTATTGTGCTTTCATGCGAAAGTTTGACCAAACACACATGACTATGACTATGACACACACACACACATGGCTTGTGGTGCCGGTAAAGCAACACTCTTGAGAATGCATTATATAATTAGGTGCATCTGCAACTCTTTTCACAACATGTTAAAAAACACACAAACAACAAGGAACATCTCAAGCATAATTCTCACCTTCATGTTCTTCCATCCCTTGGATAGTCACCTTCCCCTTCACCGCCCTCGTTTGCCACCTTGACCACGCGCACGGAGACAGCATCCACGATCTCAGTCTCCTGTGTTGCCTGGCGGTCCAGGCCCGGTGGAAGATGGCTGGCGAAGAGCATCGGATTTCGCCGGGCGGGCAGTGCCTCCACCTCACCTTTCTTGGCCTTCTTTTCCTCGCGGGAAGGGGAGGACAAGAAGGCGCAAGAGGACAAGATGACATACCCGGGACTGGGCTCCAGCCGTGCCTTTCTAAGAAGGTGGGACTGGGGTGGGTGCCAGGTGGGTCCAAATACCTTCTGAGGAGGGATACTTGAAGCCCCAAGGATAAGAACTATAGAAACAAACAGAACGCGAGCGCACACAATGCCAAAGAAAAACGGAGGCTTCAAAAGGCTCCTGTGCACATAATAGATGATGTGATTCGCATCTGGTCCTTCTTTTCCTTTTTGTCCTTTTTATCCTTCTTCTCTTTCTTCTTGGAATGCTCAGCGCCACCTTCTTCCATGCCAGCCTGGCACAAATCAAAATTCAACGGCTTCAAGTTCATCTCCTTGCCAACCTTGGCACTCACAGTTGCCACTTGAGCAATGTCTCCACCCAATCAGTGACGACCAACCAAGTTCCCATTCAATCCCAGTCAGTGACTTTTTTCTACCCGTCCGTTCGGATGTGCCAAATCCCCCCTCAAAGCACTGCTGAAATCACCGTCTATACATATACCCTACACCTCCAGTCGTACCTCCTCAGGTTCGGTATGACTGGACCCTCCTGGCACCCGGGCCCCGGTCGTCCCACCTTCTCAGGTTTGACTGGAGGCTTAGGGATATAGCATCTGGTCAGGGAAACCACTGCACCGCGCCGCGCCTCCAAAGCATCTTCAGCCTCCCGCCCCACGGTGGTGGGAAGGGCGCCCGCCGAGCTGGCGGCGCCGCTGTCCACAACGCCTTCCACCAAAAGGGTGGTCTTCTCCTGTCACTGAGTGCACAAACAGCGCCGTTGAGCGGCCTTCTTCCTCACTCAAACGCTCAAACGATTGTGAACCAACAAGTCTGAACTTTGGACTTAACAACTTCGATTTTCAAGGGTCGATTTGGCCTTCATTTGGGCTCCATCACGATTTCAATCCCTCTTAGCACCACAAGTCCCTCTGTCACTCCCTACCTCCGTTCCGCACGCGCCTGGAAGTTCCGGTTCCGCCGCTTGTCGCGGGCCCGCTTGGCGCGGAGCCGCGCGTCCTTCGCGCGGTCCACGCCCTTCGCGCCCAGGTAGACGCCGCAGTTCCTGGCGCCGTTCAGGGCCGTCAGGATCCTGTTTGGGCAGTCATGCCTTCTGCGAGTGGATCTTAATCAGCGTAGTTTGAAGCTATCACTGACGGTCCATAAGCGGCGTAGCGTCGGAACGGAAACCGCACCTTTTCTAGTCGCTTGATCCTTGAGCCAAAGTACATATGGTACATATATATATGTACATGTTGCACTGTACATGTCGCTGCACTTCCATTCGCACCCCCCATGTGAACGGTAACAATATGTTCCGATCACACACGAAAATTTAGGGATGTAAGTGCTACAAAGAAATTGTATGATTTGCCGCGAGACTCATATGAGGCTCATACTACAGAACATGCTGGACTAAAGCGGACTTTTACATATAAATTGTGCAACTATGGCTCAGAACCTATGAAAAAAATCGAATTGAATAAGTGAGACAGTCATGAGGCCTCGCTCAGTATCCACTCAAAAGAGCTTCGCTTTGATGTAGATCCGAACTGATGACTTTTCACGTAGATGCCACATCGGCAACTGACTTCACACTTCTCAAATGATGTAGGTTTTGGTTTGGATACACTTACAGAACGGCAAGTCGGAGAGACAGTCGGTGATTGTCTTCCTTCCATTATGCTCCTGGTATCAAATCAAATTGACGATTTGCAATGATACACTTATAGCGTTCCAGGTCAGATAGTCATCCGGTGAATGACTTCCTCCCTGGCTTGCATGGTATCCTCATAGTCGTTCAAAGAAATCACCACTGGTGATAACCTCTCCATCCACGATGATCCCAGTTGCCCTGAGCATCCCACCGATCATCTTCTCCCTTCTTGGACTTTCCCTTGGACTTGCTCTTTCCCTTTCCCTTTTCAGAAGGTTGAGGTACTTCGCGATGTTCTTGCGTTAGCGCCGGTCTCCAAGATGTTCCAGATTGGCCTCCTCCTTTGGAATGTCCTCGGGATGATGAAGTAGTTGTACCTTCTGCTGCATGTGCGTTGGCGGCAAGATCTTCCTGCAAAGCTTGCTCAAACACATCGGTAGCACTTGATGGTGATTTGTCAAGTGGTCTGGCTTTTGGAGCAGCCTTCACCTTGTTCTCCTCTGCTGATGAGGGCCCGAAACTCTTAGGTGCTGCTGAAGGTTTTGGTTCCTCACTTGGTGCTGACGACGGCTTGGCCTCGGTTCTGGGTGTAGATGCTGGCTTTGCCTCAGCTCTTGACGAAGATGTTGATTTAGCTGTTGCCTTGGCCCCCTGCTTCTTCTTGCCCTGAATCTCCTTGGCCCTATCTCCAAAGCCTAGACGATTGGTAAGAGCTTGAACATGCTTGTGTTCTATCACGCTCATCCATCTCTCTGTATGTCCAACGTTGGGGTTTCTGGCCATTGACTCTATGACTTCCTGAGCTTGTGGGGGCAACCTGATTTCATGTTGATCAATGATCAAAAGAATAGACTTCTCCCACTTGCTCTTCATTCTCGAGTACATGATGTCCAGAGGATCGATCACCTTGTGGTAGGGTGATGTAATGTCGGTTCTAAAATAAGAATATGTCCGACACCCATAAATCGCATGGATGCACTTCTGTACCAATTCAGTCATTGCACTGGCTTTCTTCGCTTTCAACTCCTCAAGCTGGGCATCAGTCAAGTCGGTGGAGTATTCGAAGTTGCCATATTCCTCTTTGAAGGATTTCGGAGTATGACCGAATGATAGGATCATGAGTGCTACCTTGCAAATGAATTGTTCTCCTCTGAATCGGTGCCAGGCCTCCTCAGTTGTAATATTGTTGTCGTTGGCAAAATTTAACATCATGTCATCTGTTGGATCCAATGGTCTCCCATCGTCATCGATTTCAGTGGAATCTCCTGTACCGAACTTGCTTATCACATCCAGACGTTTCTTTTTCCAATTTGCTTTGAAGTCGGTAAGGCTGGTGCAATAGTAGCTCTTGTACATCAGGGAGATCATGTTCAGCACACATTTGACCACATACCTATCCATCAAACCCGATGCATTCATGGAGACGTCCTGACAGTAGGCCCTCTCTTGATGCGCATAGATTCGAGGTTCCGGTACTCGACAATAGATGGGGAGATCTTCGTTGTCTCTTCCTTCTTCGGGATTGAACTCGGTCGCTCCATGCTGTGTATAGTATCCCGGTTCGTCACGATCTGTCGGTCGATTCGCCTCCGGATGTAAGTCGTCGGTGACGTCTTCATCCTCGGGCTCACCATCTTGACGTTTCTTCCCCTCATATTGTTGTGTGCTCCTCTGGATCTCGATGATCACGTTTCGTTCGTCTTCATCTTCTAGATCAGAATCACGACCGTAGTCGATCTCATCCTCATTGAAAGATGGGGTTTCGACATTGTCACTCTTGAGGTTCTCTGCACCATCAGACGGTTTGGAAGGATCTTGATTGTCCATGTCCTCGTCGTCATCAGCTGCTTCAGTTTGAGCGATGTCTTCTTCCCAAGCCTTTCTGATCTCGTCCATAGTGGCCTGATCCAACATATCTTGATCATCATGTTCAGGCTTCTTCTCTTCCTTCTTTTCCTCTTCATCGTCGCTCACAAGATCAACGGGTGAATCGGAAATGACAGTGTTGCGAATACCACACGAGAGTAGCCTGCCTTGACAAGATAGGCATACGGACAAAGATGAAGAAGTCAAATGCATACATGATGGACACAAAATATTGCCATCCACGTTGCGATACCCTTCACATGTTCTGGAGATGATTTCGTCCCAAGTTTCCTCACTGATGGAATCCTCGATCAGCTCTCCATTGTCATCGAATCGTACTTCATCGATAAGGGACACGAGCTTCTGGACGTTGTCATCTGTCGCCGAGGCTGACTTTGTGACTTCGTCGGCTCTCCCGAGGATGGTATGCTTCTGAGCAACCCAAAGTCCATGACGTGCCGCTAGAACAACTTGTTCTCCGGTGCTTCCCAGCAGGAGTCTCCTCCATGCCTGACCGTGGTCATCCCAATACCAAGCACCTCGTACACATCTCCATGGAACTTCTCTAAAAACAACAGTGTAGGAATTCTCCGAAATTCTTCCTCCAAGCTTCCTCAAAGTCATGATTGGAACATAAAGGCAAACGGGCATTCCCCCTCTTGGCCATCTTGATCTCAGGATCTTTGATGATCGATCATCCCACGGCGCAAAGTGGTTGAAGAAGACACTACCTCTATATCCATCCATTCCACCAGGGACAATTCCTAGTTTCATGATTGACTCAATATTGGAAAGCGATGTCATGTGAAAGCTTCCTCCGAGCTGCATTGCCACATTCTCTGGAATGAGATGTGAAGTCCATACAGGATATATTGACACATCCTCTTCAAGAACAGTCTCTCTTCCAGAATTGTGAGAGGCAACGGCTCGAATTGCACAAGGAACGATCCAACGTTCATGCTTCAGAAATGATGGTGCATCTGTGCCGTGAAACATGAGGTTTGCCCAGTATCGCCTTTCCTCTTCGAGTGAGACATCCTCCTTTGAGATGCGAACGGCGGCAATCTGATAGCGTACTCTGTTCTGCAACTTCTTTGCATGCCACATCGCCTTGCATAAATATTGGTATCGCTCTGTCTTGATATCTTGCTCACGTCGGGTACCTGTGATAGTACTGATATTGACACCATCGTTGAAGACATGATCATATTCCAGGATCTCATCGATGTTCACCCATCCACCCTCATTGCACTTCGGGGACACATGAGGTTTTCGACCGCGGTGCGATTGAATCCCATTATGCTTTCCCACTCCATGCCTGAGTAGTCTATTGAGTCTATGGCTAATCTCGTTGACCCATTGACTCTCCTCGCTGAGCTTGTCGATGCGAATTGCTGGGTTCATCTTTGGTGGATCCGTGTAAGTTGCATCTACCTTCGGTCCATTCCAGTACTCCACATAGAATGTAACTCCATACTGTGGAATTATCTCAATGTTTCCTCTATCGCAAGTCACCTCAATCTGCCGATATCCAGCCTTTTGAAATTGTTGTGGATCAGGAGCAAGGTCCTTCACTTTGGGCATCTTTATCCCGAGTGCTGCAGCCTCCTGAATAAGTGCATCAAGTTCCCTCTTTCCATCAGGACCTGATCTATCAACCCTGTGATTTGCGACCTTGTGCTCTCCTCCTTCTTTGTCATCGGCAATGTCAAAGAGGTCGACGGGCTCTTTGAATCTGGTGACGAAGCTGGCGTTCCCAAAGGCCTTCTTGGTTGCCTCGACCGCTTTTGCGTATTCCTCTTTTGCAGAGTCTGACGAATGTGGTCTACCTTTGGCTCTCGGAGAGTAAGGTGGTACCTTACTTCCTAGTTCCGGTTCTTCTTCGGGAAGTTCAATGTCTTCATCATCCACATCCATGTAGTCCTCGTCTTCGACGTCTTTGGATGACTTTGCTTTCCTCTTTCGGCTTTCAACATCACGTCGGATGATTGCCTTGTCGTCCTCGGTGAAGCACTTGCGCATAGTGTCCTCCATGTAAGAGAATGATTTCATCAACACGTCCTTCTTCTCAGTGTCGGGACAAATAGCCAGGTGATGTTGGTTTGAACCACAACAATAGCACACATTTTGGCTCTCTGCGCGTGCTCTGACTCTCCTGAGGTTGTCATAGGCGGATTTCCAGCTGGAAGCGACTGCTGTACCTTGCCCACCGCGCTTGGCAGCTCTTTTCCGTTCCTCAGTATCTGGATTCGATGTCGGGTAGTGCGACCATGTTTTCGTCGGAGATATTGAACGACCCTCCCCATCCTTGTAATCTTGCGGATCAAGCTCAGGCGTAGGTGGTTCAGGCTCCTCGACTCCTGGAGTGGTACTCGCAGGGTCGGCTTCGCCATCCTTCATCTCTACATCAGGCTCTTCCGTAGACGTTCTTTTGGGCTCTGGGGCTATAGCCAGTCGTACCATTCTCCTGAACTCTGGTCTGATAGCATACCTGGACATGACGGCATCGATACAGGCTCGTTCTTCAGCTGTAACATGGAGCC